TTGGGACAAAAACAAAGGGACGTAATTACGGACACGATTCTCAGCTTGACTTTCCAAGGCTGTTGGCAATTCACGCAACGCCCTTCGTGAAACTTAAGGCAACACCCTTTAACAACGTGATGGGAAAAGATCGAAAGCCATTTTTCAAACCCAAATCCTCCGAGACCCACGCAAAATCAAAGGGGAGACTGGGAAAACGGAATAAAACCATTACCTTGGAACCCACTCAATTGTGCGCATGTGGAAAGTGAATTTGAAAAAAAAAATGAGAGGGGGAAAAAGAGACCATTGAAAAATATGATTGCTGATGGACTGATAAAGAGCATTGAAGTAAGCTGATTAAATTTTCAACGAAGAAGGCTTCTAAATAAAACCAGATTTTGGAGCTATGGAAAAAATACTGAGGAGTTCAATTTCTCTTTATAGCTGACATATTTGGTTTGTTTGAGAACGGAACTTTTAAAAAGTCAGTATAATCTGAAGCAAGCAATTCTCACGTTCCAAATTATTAGTGCTCACATTTTTTAAATTAAAAAGGATATATTTTCAAAAACTTTGCTTATTCCATGTTCAGTATATGCTGGTGAACATTTTAAAATCCCAGCCTTCTCCAATAATGCTTTTGACCATGAAGCATATTTATTTTTATGCCCACTGAAATAATAAATTGACGAATCAATTCTGTATACACTTATGAATTTTTAATAAAAGGCAAAAAAAGTTGGGATGTTAAAGTTCACGCCGGTAAAAAAATAAAATTATGAAATATATATTTATAAAATTACCGAAGAGGTCATATAATAAGTTCTATACTTTTGGAAGTCGGTGAAACCAAAAATAAAAACAAAAATCGAAACATTTTCTGAATGTACTTTTTCTCAGTACAGTAAACGCATTTTTGAATGGCCTTCGTGACCATAAATACACAACATATACATTTAAAAAAATCGCAACAAACTTGATCGAAATTCAAACACATTTCGCGCACTAAAATTCAATGTCTCTGATTTCCCAGACACTCTGAATTTCGCATTGTAAAATAGAAAATGAAAATGTCGTGTCGACTTCGTAAGCAATATACAATATCACAACGAAAGATATGTCGAATAATGCCCATAATAAGGCATAAAAAGAGAAAAATCTGGATTTCTGGTATATTCACTTCCAAAATTAACTCGATAAATCGTAATTTATCTTTTCATAGTACATTACAGTGCAGTGCAATATTTTATCAACACGGTTAAGAAAAAAATAATCCCGAATGAATAAGTCCTAAGAATATCTGACACGAATCAAGACGCCATTTGGAACGGATCAGCGAATTCAGCGCGCAGAAAAAATCACACTCCATGGACGACTATATTGTACATATCTCGGACGGATATCCTTTTTCCCGTCATTTACGACACACAAATATTAATTACGAAGCAGACACTTGGATACAAAAATTAATTAGCACCCACGTGTCACTCGGGTGCCTCATGCCCGGGATAAGCTTTCCTTGAAGCATGACGAGATTCTGCTGATGATGAAACGCGCGAAGAATGACAGCACAAGTGCATTTCCCCTTTATTCTCTTTTTCTCAGTTACTATAACTACTTGAATAGTTTCCGGAATAGTTTTCAACATCCTGCTCAAGCGGGCAGAATATGCAGTCGAGTTTCTGAGATCTTTCCATCAGCACGGAAAATGCACGCGATGAATCTCATGGTACTGTACTGTACACATTCTAAAGGAGCGTCAACATCTTATTGTTGCAAGAATAACGGAATTATTCGGACCTGGTGAAACAAAAATTAAGTTAAAACCCTGGAAACTTAAATTCAAATCAAATACTGTAGTTATGAATGAAGAATGGGAGGAATTTTATTGACAGTTTTACGGTAAACCCACCACAGAAAACTTCACCATAGCAATTTTGGGATAGAAGCAATCGTGTAACCGTACAGTACCTAGTATTTGACAAGAGCGACACCTAGTCTAGATGAGGAAAGCTACTCATCCGTGATCTTCCTCGACTCGCAACAGGAGCTGATCGAAATCACTGTGCAGATGAGCCGCGCTAGCTTGACATGAGATGTAATCAGTCAACCATATGCTGCTGCGCCAAATTATTTACACACTGCAAAAACACATGTTTTGTATTTGCAACAGCAATATTGGGTGCTCTTCGAAACATCCAACGACGACGTGTCTTGCGTTTACTGTATCTGTGTATTTTCTTTGAATTCAAATGCAATGATTAAAATCTCATCAAATTCAATAAACACTAAACATTGTTTTGCAAATCGTTTCATGAGACTATTAAAATCAAGAGCTGACTATTTTCAAATCTTCTGAGCACACCAGAACATTTACAAGCAAAAACTGCAAAGGTTTCTCATCAGAATACTGCTGCAAAATATGTCACTTTGAATGGTATAAAATTCTCCCGCAGAAAATCGGCGCACAACATAATCGCAGCTTGTTTTCGCCAGTTTCATGCCATCTTCTTAAAATTTCTAAATTTCATGGAGTAAACATTCCGGAGAGTGAAAGCAAGAAATTTCACATTTATTTCAGAAATTCAAAAGATGTCATGAGAATTTTCTCTCAGGATTTACATAGTTGAGGCAACTGCAGATTTCGAGACAGAACATGAAGAGAGAATCATTGACGTTTGTCCTCTTGCAAATAATGGCATTTTCTTAAAATTAATCATCCAACAAATGCTCCATCAGGAAGTATTCCTCGACTAGAAATGTAAACTCTATCATTTGTCTAAACCTTTCATTTGATCTCATGACTCGTATGGACAAATGCCTTCTTGGTTCAACCGAGTCAACATTGGTCGATAGATGTCGGGTGTGAATGGCAACACGTTCCCTTTGCCCTGTATTTCACCTGGGAAAAAAAAAATCATTTAAATTGAGTCAATGAAAGTTGTAGAGTTTTTCGAAAATAGAAACGAATTAATAATGAGCGTATTCAAGGAAACAAGAATAGTGGAAAAGGTTTAAGTGGATCTTTTTTTGTGGTGAAAGTATGTGAGTGCAAATTTCACAGCTGCTACCCAAAAAAGTGCTCAGAGATCTAAAAACATATTTTCCATTAATACTGCATGCCAATTTTCAGTGCAATAATACATCTTTTTTTCAATAATATAATGTATATACATTGCAAGAAATAAATTTTGGAAATTAAAGAAGTCTCCTTCTTGAATAATCACTTTTTTTATACAATTTTTCATCCAGTAAACCAGGACCATAATTAAGTACTGAACAGCTGAATTTTTCAAAGCAACTGAGTGAAACTTCAGTCATATGCATCATGCAGTTTTAAGCAAAATATGAACCCAGCAGTATTCTTTCCATATTTAATCAAGTACCCTGAAATAAAATGCAAATCTTTAAATTTTGAGCCAGAATTTTGAGGAATGATGTGACACCATTGATTCCCTGTTTTTTTTAAGATACCAAGAATAAAATGCTGAACAGAAACTTGTATGTATACCTACATGAAACCTGAATTCATTTCCTGTTTTAAACTGTTAATGTTATATGATTTCTCATCAAACATTCTTTCCACATTGTTTAATCAACTAAACCTTATCTGGGAGCAGGCTGAACAACTTAGTAACTGATAAAACTTGGGAAATACAAACCATTTAGAACCATCTTTGTGGCAATTGCTGAAGGGTATCCAACTGTTTTAGCCATAGCTGTGAAGCCTTGCTCTCCAACATCCCCATAGCAGACCAAGTTGATGCCCTTCTTCTCCAATTTTCCATCAGGCCATCTCACACCAATGTCATGTCTCAAAATTACAATGTCTCTATCTTGTGGTCCTTCAAACAGAAAATAAAATTTTCTACATATTCCCTGGCCAGCTTAAGCATAAAGCTTTCTAAGTTAAATTTTCAGAGTGGATCCCAGGTAAAAAAAGTCCCTTTATAGTCCAAGGCAATTTAAGCATCACCAACTCTCAACATTTTTTTTGTTTAGGCCCTTTTAGTCCATTTTTTCAAGCCACGCCATTTTTAAAATTGAACTGAGGATAAAACTTGTTCATAAAATTAAATTCATGCAAATTAATTTCTTTTTAGAACTCACTAAGTAATTATTCAACAAGGATATTATAAGCATATTTCAGCAGATATAAAATCTATCACAGTTGAACCTCAAGAACTCACACCTCCCTAAGTCAAATACTGCCCTAAGTCAAAGTTTTTTTTTTGCAGGTCATGTCTGAATCCCCTTAGAATTAATGCATTAAAAAGCTCCCTGAGTCAAAAGCTTTTCCCCTCAAACCTCCATGATTCGAAATTTTTTTTGGCATGTTGGCTTTTATTTTTAAGACACAAGAAAGAAAAAAAGCAATAAAAACAGGAATAGATGTGTTTGAAAAGGAAATGAAAGACTTAATTGGGCAAATAAACCCCTGCCTCCAAGTTCAGCATCCTTTCAACTCATTTAAGAAATAANTAATTATTCAGCAAGTATTATAGGCATATTTTAGCAGATATAAAATCTATCGCAGTTGAACCTCAAGAACTCAAACCACCCTAAGTCAAATACTGCCCTAAGTCAAAGTTTTTTTTTGCAGGTCATGTCTGAATCCCCTTAGAATTAATGCATTAAAAAGCTCCCTGAGTCAAAAGCTTTTCCCCTCAAACCTCCATAAGTCAAATTTTCTGTGGCCTGTTTGCTTTTATTTTCTTGACACAAGAAAGAAAAAAAGCAATAAAAACAGGAATAGATGTGTTTGAAAAGGAAATGAAAGACTTAATTGGGCAAATAAACCCCTGCCTCCAAGTTCAGCATCCTTTCAACTCATTTAAGAAATAATTTCAGCCCCAGAATACATCACAATTTACAATTTTGGGCAATTTTTATATATTTCCCCACACACAAGGGCTTTGCATTGTAGCTCAAACCTCCATTACTCAAAACCTCCGTAAGTCAATTTTTTCTTGCTGGTCCCTAATTGAAATTTGACTTAGAGAGGTTCAACTGTAGTAATCAAAAGTTTCAAAAATGTGGCCAGAAAACTAATTTCAATTTGTAAACTGCCAAAATGAAGACAAATTCTGGGACTCAGAAACTCTGTGTTATATTTTTAGTTCCTTATACAGTTCTAATTATGGAGGGGTTAGGCTGTATAGAAATGACTTTCACTCAGAACAGAAGCAGCATTTGTGGTACTGTATTTTATAATGCCTTGTTCTTTTAGGCTTTTTATTTATTTTACCCCATATAGCAAGTAAGTTGTAAATAAATGAGGTCCTCACCTAGTTTCAGTCTGTTGGACAGATAATTTGAAAGCGTGTCCAAGGGCGAATCAAATTTGTCAACAGGGTCTTCAGAAAGAAGGCCGAGTTGTTCAAGTGCATCCACGATTTTGGCGGAACCAACCACATTTTCGAGTTCCTTTTTGACATTTTCGTACAACGTGTCCTCACTTTTCCCGATTTGCTCGCAGACAAACTTGCGCTGTGGAAATATTTTACATACTCTGATGCACATGAAAAAGGCATCTTAAATTTTTACTTGATATTGAATAAAAAAATATAATTTTAAATTTAAATCCAGGGATTTTTAAAGTTGGCAATATTTATCCGTTTTTTTTTGCCAAGTCGTTTCCCTGTGTATAAATGATTGATACAGCTTGGAAAAATCAGCGTTCGGAATCTAGCCACAATTTTATACTGTATAAACTTTTTAAAAAACTTTCATTCATAAATACTGGAACATTTTGAAGAACAGAAGTCTCGGTCCTGAAGTTGAAGAAAATTATTATGCTAGTAGGTAATAGTCAATCGCCCCGTTTTCACAAAATATATACAGTACTTTTTTCAATTAAAATTTTGGTTTTGAATTTGTACTTTCCAATCTTGGAAATTAAAATTTAATATGACAGGTTATTGAAGTTTTGACAGATACTGTATCAAGGTATGGAGATTGAAATTCATATTATGTCCGGTTCATTGAGTTTATCATATGCTAACAATTCTTTCCAAGACACAAGCTTGGATATGATAATATATTGAAAACGTCCCTCAATTATTTTCCATAATTATGCGGTTGTAAAATAACTCACTCACGCAGTAATCGAAAAATACTTTTTCTAGATTTACAAGGAGAAAATGAAGTTTTGACTCATGTCCAAGTTAAAACAAAAAATTTACATGACGAAAATTTTCTCATTGTAGAGGAAAAAGTGTGCCTCCCTTTCAGACGTCCTTGATTTCATTGGGATTTCCGATCGAAAATGTTTATCATTATTTGAAAGAAAGAACAAAGGAGTGATCCAATGATACATAGACCCAGATTACAACTGCGAAATTGCCCGTCCTGTTAATGAAATGTTCTTGTTTCCTGTTTCAAGAAGACAGCGAAATATATACCCAAGAAAGGTCGGGTCCATGCGCGTGAAAATCCGGATGACTGTTGGAATCGATCATGCCAAGTTTCACCAAAGCATTCATGGTCTCAGCAAAACCGAAGTATCGCAATGTTCCTCTCAGCACTGTCTTGGCTTCAGAAATTCCATACATTTCTTGGTAAATGAGAGAGTCCCTGTTGGGGTATCCTTCCAGAGCAAAACCCGGCAGGAACCGGACGGGTTCAGCAGAACTCATCAGGGCTCCGGGCGGAACCTCAATGATCTACAATATATACCCATGTTCCCCGTTTTCCGACATTTTTTCATAGAACGAAGGAAACCCGTTAGTCAATGCGAAGTCGAAATAAATTTTGAGTTTGATGAAATAAAATTTCAAATGCAAAAAGATATCTACGAAACAAAAACACATCCGCGATCCTCTGCTATTACGGTTAAAGTCGCGTGGCGTTGACCGCGACACCTAGTGGACATAAAAATAGTTCAAAACCAGCTTAAGTTCATTAGGAATTATACAGATGTCAGAACTACTTCGCAATGACCAGCAAACAAAATCATCAGGTGCATCATCATCATCCCCTCGCGTAAACCTTGTGAAAACGCACAAAACCCCTCACAAATACACACATCTTCAGCGCTGTGAAGCACATAAACACGTCATAAAAATAGGACTCATTCATCTTTGCAAATAAATAAATTTCAGAAAAGATGAAGTGTGCTAATAGAAGGTAATAATCGTGATGGATATGCATGTAGAGGGACTAACCTTCCCGTCCAAGACATATTTGGCCCCACTGAGAGCATTGAACAGGACTCCTCTTGGACTCCAGGAAAACTTGTACCTCAATGGGTTCTCTGAATGTTCTGGAGCTGGCAACCCTCCACAGTAGGACACGAAGCTTTCAATCTTGCCTCCTTTCAAATGGACATTGTCAATGTATTCCATGGCAAGCAAATGATCTATGCCAGGGTCGAGTCCAACTTCGTTCACTATCGTGATCCCGGCATCCACAGCTCTGACGGATAAATCGAGAAAAGGAAAAGAGTCAAAACACCCACATAAAACGTATTAAAACCCTAAAATGTTAAAATTTTCTCTTTTTATTGACTGTCTCTGTCTGCAAGATGTTCATCAGTAGTAGGATAAGTGATGAAAAGATGCATCTTTGGAAAAGCAATAAATTTCAATGCAGTCTCTTTTGCGATAAAGTATGCGAGAAAAGGCCAGGAGTTTCCGGACGCACGATGACTTTTCCATTACTTATTATATAGCTTCTATAAGAAAAAAACATAATTTTTTTGAAGTTTATTGACATCATAGAGAAATGCCATTGAAGGCAATGAATGGAATTTTCTCACATCATCTCCATCGTAATAGCTTGGAAATTTACGATCTTTTATCTCGTTTTTTATCGAGAAAAAATTCAGGAATATATGCGATGAATATTTCTTATGCTTTATTTTTACGTATTATAGAGGATCGTTCAGAAATTCCTGAGACGACCAAATTAATTGTTTTTCAATTCCACAGTAAATCTTCCGCTCGATTGCTTTCTCAGTACGTAACAGATATAACAATTGAGTACGAAGTTTAATTCGATCGAATTCAATATTATTCATTGACAGCGAGGTTGTCATATAAATAGACCACTGACGTCATTAATTTAAGATGTATTTATTTTAGCTTCACCGGAGCTAGTATACCGTAAGTGAGGATACTGACATTTTGTTTCAAAATGAAAAAAAAATATCTGCTCGGCTTTGATTATTTTATTTCAAATATACCTGTCGTGTAATGCTTGCATAGCAGGTGAGCAATACGACGAAGTGACCATGTTTCTCTGGTGTTGAATGCAACACTTGGCCACGATCGGATGCAGGTGATACGGCAAGAGACTCACGACAACGTCCTGCTCTTTGACTACGGCATTCAGGGACTCCGAAGCCTCTTGCACATTCAGATGAATCGGCACCGTGTTGGGATACTTGTTTGCCAACGAATCCGCTTGTTCTTTCACGGTGCTTGCTATAATATTCAAATATTTCGAAACAAAATGCTGCAGGTATATCAAACTCAGGAAAAATTATGTATAGATAAATCGGACCGCTTAGAAACCACGAATAAATCATAAATTATCATTTATTTAAAAATGGAAACTTTTCACATTTGGAGAGCCATCATTGATTGTCCTTGATCTACTTTTTCGGATAAAGTGAGACCCCCACATGCGGACACCTCAACGTGTGGAAAATTTGACATACGGACACTTATTTTCCCAGAAAAAATTAATAAAAAAGGCCCAACATGAGGACACTGACTTGACGTAGGGACATTTTGTGATAAAATTGCAAATACATTTCAGGCCAAATTACAAGAGACAGATATTTCCAACCCTAAAATTGATGCCAGAAAAGTTCTTGGGCATTTCTCTCACCAAATTACCATCCATTTAGCTAATTTTAAAAAATTACCTCCAGCATAGAGGGACTTCCTTCTCTCTTTTTCACTTGAATTTTATTTTTGTATATAGGTGCCAACATTTCAATGTACAGTACAGAGATGCACTATATTCACTGCCCCAATAATGTTTTCATCCAGCTGAAAATGTATTCACTAATTCAAATTCAAGTGACTAAACAATTTCAATTCAGGGAGTTCTGAAGAATATTTCTTCCATAAATAACCAATTAAAAATTATATAATGTAAGTCTATGGGAAAACAAGACTAGACTTTGGGACAATTCAACTTAGGGACACTCTTGATGCACCAATTATGTCCTCATCTCAGGGTCTCACTACTGTGCTTTCTATTCAAAATGTTGAAGTGAAATAATTTAAAAGAATTAGATACATTTTTTGTTGAATATAGCATTCAATTCATCTCTTTAAAAAACAGGAATCTTTACCAACAGTGACTTTGACTTCACCGTCCCTGGTCAGGTACTCCACAAAAGGTCCACTGACAAACCCTGCCCCGAGGAGCAAGACTTTGTGCCTCGCTTCAGCCATGGGCACGCCGGCTTTCTGTCTTGACTGAATACTAAAAAAAAAAGAAGAAGAAAGAATTGAAAACTTTGACTATAATTCGGGACAGAAAAACGAGGCGAGAAATGAAAATGTTCAAGAACTCACGCGTTGTTTTGGCGAAGGGTTTGTATGTACTGGAACCCAGGGGTCAACTTCCCGTTACTAGTGATCACAGCCTGTTATTAAATGGAAAAGTTATACTGTAGTAATTAAAATCTGCACCAAAAGGGACTTTGCGTGAGGACAATTTTTGAATTATTGCGATCATATGGGATTAAAATATTACAGCAGATCCATTTTCAATGAGGATTCCGATTACACACGAAAGGAAAAATAAACTCGACTGTCACCGGTTTCACTGTATAATCTGAAATTTCTGAATTAATTGAAGGGGCTTCATTACATTTTCAGATGCTCTACATAGATTGTATTGCATTACTGAATCGTTCAATAATATTCTAATGCTAATTTCGCGACGATTTCTCCCGAGATAATTCAGCTAAGAATATTTTTGCATCACTCAAGAATCGAGGTGCAGTAAAGACGACCAAAAGGTTGGCGAAAAAATAAAAAAACAGAAACTTTACTGAGAAGCTCATGTATAGTTCATTTTTTGGAGTATGATTCTTCTTTTCGTTGAAACCTTGAACAATAATTTAAAATATAAAAATCTGAATACGCTGAAAGCAAACCTGAAACTAATCGTCGCGCGCAAAATTTTATACTTCTTCATCGATATTAAATTTAACATCCCTCGTATTTGAGGCTTGCACACGCAGCAAACTTTTTGCATAAGAAAAGGCCATGGTGGAGATCATTAGTTTCCTTCTACATAAATTTGAGAAAAGAGCTCGCTGAAAAAGTTTTTAGCTCGCAAGGATCTCTCAACAAATGACTTCAAGCACTAGAGGAAAATTTGCGACTGATGATATGATTTTCAATTGATTTAAACTTTAAAAAATATCTCGTAAAAAATACAACATATTGATGCAAAGGTATACTTTCCCAAATTTTAGAGGACCATAGGAAATACAGTTAGCTTTATATGATTTATCTTCAAAGATTCTCTTTTGATTCTTCAATTAAGGACAAATTATCAGCAAACAGGCTCAAGACCTTTTGCTTCTATACGTGCTCACTGCTCAGTAATTTCTTCATGCTGTGATATTTTTCTTAAAAAAAAATGGCAAGTCATTGTTCATGCATCCAATTGTATGTACTGTAATGCATTTTCTTTGAATAACCAAACAAAAAATTATTTTTCTTTTTGATATGATATGGGTTTTCCCTTAATATAAAAATTTATCTTTTTGGACCTTGTGATGATGACTGCTCATAAGCATCAGCAAATAAAGCTTGTACAGTTGAACCTGGATAAGTTAAGTTAATTACCTCCTTAAGTTAAATGCAGGTGGTATACCTCAAAATTTGACCTCCCCCAATTCAACTGTCCTGCAATTTGATGGTCAAATTTGCTGGGAGGTCAATTCACAATTCAACCTAGGCTCTGCAATTTGACCCGTACAGATGGGCAAAAACATCAATTACAATGTAGAAAACATTGGATTTGACATTGCTTCACAATTCAACCACTTTGCAATTCAACCCTAGTCCAGCAATGGATTAGGGTGAAATTGTGAGGCACCACCTGTACCCCCTAAGTTGAATTTTTTCAGATTCCTGTCTGAATCCCATTAGAAGCAATTAATTAACCTCAAATTGAAGGCATTTCCCCTCCAACCTCCATAAGTCAAATTTTCTGTGGCCTGTTGGCAATTGTTTTCTTGACACAAGAAAGAAAAAAAGCAATGAAAACAGAAATTGATGAGTTTTAAAAGGAAGTGAAAGACTTATACATGAGCAAATGAACCCAGCCCTGCCTTGAATTTCAGCATCCAAGAAGCAATGCAAGCCCAAGAATATCACCAATTTACTATTTTGGGTAATTTTTACATATTTCCCCACACCAAAGGACTTTGTATTGTAGCTCAAACCTGTATAATTCAAAACCTCCCCAAGTCTTTTTTGTTGCTGGTCCCTTGAAATTTGACATATTGAAGAGGTTCAACTGTATATACTGTACAGTGAGACCCCCACATGTGGATGCCTCAACCTGCAGACAATTTGACATAGGGACACTTTCTTTCTAATTAAAAAGGACCCAACCTAAGGACACTGACTCAACCTGCAGACATTAAAATTTTCAGAAAATCAAATTTTTAAAGCAAAATTACTAAGAACAGATATTTACAACCATAGGATGGTAAGATCTGTGTGACAAAAATTGTTTTAAAATTCTGTCATCTTTTTCCCCTCCATTTAGCTAATTTAAAAAAATTATCTCAAGCATAGAGATTCTCAAGAAAGAAGGGATTTCCTTCTCTCTTTTTGTCTAATTTAATTTTTATAGGAAATGCTAACATCTCAATGTTTAATTGTGTACAGAGGTACATCCTTTTTACTTGGATATTTTTCCCTGTATGTTCCTCAAGAAACTGTTGGAAAAACATTATTCTCAACTTTTTGCTTGACAAAAAGCTAAGTTCATTTCAAGAAGGCTAGATAAAAAAAAGTGGAAAATGTCCTCTAAGAAGACCAAAACATCTGGAATAATCAGGAATGTGCCAACTGTGGAACTCAAAAAAGAAACCATAAAGATGCCACAGCTGGAGAAGAAAGGAAGAGAAGAGGACAGTTGCTGAATTGATAGATCTTAACATTCAGCAGTAGCACAGAAATTGTGCATTTTGTAAATGTTTTATGCCCTGGATGCTACAAATGTTACACATGAGTTAAAAAACACTGATTTAATAATTTTTTTTATTTTTCCTCAATTTTAAAAAGGAATTTTGATCAATATTTCTTTCAGAAAACACCAACTAAAAATTATATAATGCAAGTCTATGGGGAAACAAGACTTGACTTAAGGACATTTCAACTTGGGGACACTCTTGATACACCAATTACGTCCACATCTTGGGGTCTCACTATATATATCAATCAAATAATTTGTATACGCACAGAAGTGACTTCCGGTGAGAGATGCGTGTCATCCATGCTCTTTTTGGCATCCGACTGCAAAATGCTGTAAATGTGCGGCAACAAGAGCTCGCCGAAAAAGTGCGTCGATTCTCTGGGCAACTGCGTCGGCATGTTATCAATGGAACACAGGAGGAAACCCGGGGCCATGAGCCCATTCTGATGGGTCGTGTGATGAACGGGGTCGTAGATCCAAAACGGGTTGTCAATAGTGGTGCAATCCACGGTGAACTCGATGGAGCCATCGAGATCCGCGGAGATGTCGCAGACGGCGACCAGGCGGTGGGGTAACGTCGGCGCCCCGGGGCATGGTGCCAGCCAGGGCGCCACGACGGGTTCGCAGAGGTGCTTGGCGTCCGGGAGGGTTATGAGGCGCGGGAATTCCTGCGACCAGTAAACCCCGTTGACCAGCACAGACGTGTAAGGGGCAATCTGGAGTAAATCATACATGGACAATCATCAGCAGTGGTATCATAATGGTACCACCAAGACAGGTTGGACTCTTGCAATAACGATTGTTACGGAACCACAACAAAGCAAACGATTAATTTATCCACACACAAAAAAGCCCTACAATAATAAAGCAGTGAACAACCAGAAAAACAGCAGGGGCAAACTCAATGAGTTTTCCTTTGGCAAGAATCAAACACATCTACAGTCAAACCCTCATAAAAGACGCCACCATTTGTCCAGAGCAATTTTGGCTGTTTAAAGGGGTTGGCGGTTCATCAAATGCTGTATTTCATTTAAAATTACTTGATGAAAAATGCTTGATTTTCCTCCAAAAAGTTATAGAGATACAGTGAGACCCCAAGATGTGGGCATAATTAAGGCATCAAGAGTGTCCCTAAGTTTAATTGTACCTGAGTCTAGTCTTGTTTTCCCATAGACTTACATTATATAATTTTTAATTGGTGTTTTATGGAAGGAATATTCTTAAGAATTCCCTGAATTAAAATTGTTTGCCACTTGAATTTGAATTAGTGAATACATTTTCAACTGGATAAGAACATTATTGGGGCATCAAATATAGTGCATCTCTGTACTGTACATTGAAATGTTGGCATATACAAAAATAACAACAAGTGAAAAAAGTAGAAGTCCCTCTATGCTGGAGGTCAATTGTTTTAATTAGCTAAATGGATTGTAATTTGGTGAGAGAAATGCCCAAGAACTTTTCTGTCATCAATGTTAGGGTTGGAAATGTCTGTCTCTTGTAATTTGGCCTGAAATGTATTTGCAATTTTATCACAAAATGTCCCTATGTTGAGTCAGTGTCCTCATGCTGGGCCTTTTTTATTAATTTTTTTTGGGAAAATAAGTGTCTGTATGTCGAATTTTCCGCACGTTGAGGTGTACGCATGTGGGGTTCTCACTTTATCCGAAAAAGTAGATCAAGGACAATCAATGATGGCTCTCCAAATGTGAAAAGTTTGCATTTTTAAATAAATGATAATTTATGATTTATTCGTGGTTTCTAAGCGGTCCGATTTATCTATACATAATTTTTCCTGGGTTTGATATACCCGCAGCATTTTGTTTCGAAATATTTGAATATTATAGCGAGCACCGTGAAAGAACAAGCGGATTCGTTGGCAAACAAGTATCCCAACACGGTGCCGATTCATCTGAATGTGCAAGAGGCTTCGGAGTCCCTGAATGCCGTAGTCAAAGAGCAGGACGTTGTCGTGAGTCTCTTGCCGTATCACCTGCATCCGATCGTGGCCAAGTGTTGCATTCAACACCAGAGAAACATGGTCACTTCGTCGTATTGCTCACCTGCTATGCAAGCATTACACGACAGGTATATTTGAAATAAAATAATCAAAGCCGAGCAGATATTTTTTTTTCATTTTGAAACAAAATGTCAGTATCCTCACTTACGGTATACTAGCTCCGGTGAAGCTAAAATAAATACATCTTAAATTAATGACGTCAGTGGTCTATTTATATGACAACCTCGCTGTCAATGAATAATATTGAATTCGATCGAATTAAACTTCGTACTCAATTGTTATATCTGTTACGTACTGAGAAAGCAATCGAGCGGAAGATTTACTGTGGAATTGAAAAACAATTAATTTGGTCGTCTCAGGAATTTCTGAACGATCCTCTATAATACGTAAAAATAAAGCATAAGAAATATTCATCGCATATATTCCTGAATTTTTTCTCGATAAAAAACGAGATAAAAGATCGTAAATTTCCAAGCTATTACGATGGAGATGATGTGAGAAAATTNCCTCTATAATACGTAAAAATAAAGCATAAGAAATATTCATCGCATATATTCCTGAATTTTTTCTCGATAAAAAACGAGATAAAAGATCGTAAATTTCCAAGCTATTACGATGGAGATGATGTGAGAAAATTCCATTCATTGCCTTCAATGGCATTTCTCTATGATGTCAATAAACTTCAAAAAAATTATGTTTTTTTCTTATAGAAGCTATATAATAAGTAATGGAAAAGTCATCGTGCGTCCGGAAACTCCTGGCCTTTTCTCGCATACTTTATCGCAAAAGAGACTGCATTGAAATTTATTGCTTTTCCAAAGATGCATCTTTTCATCACTTATCCTACTACTGATGAACATCTTGCAGACAGAGACAGTCAATAAAAAAAGAAAATTTTAACATTTTAGGGTTTTAATACGTTTTATGTGGGTGTTTTGACTCTTTTCCTTTTCTCGATTTATCCGTCAGAGCTGTGGATGCCGGGATCACGATAGTGAACGAAGTTGGACTCGACCCTGGCATAGATCATTTGCTTGCCATGGAATACATTGACAATGTCCATTTGAAAGGAGGCAAGATTGAAAGCTTCGTGTCCTACTGTGGAGGGTTGCCAGCTCCAGAACATTCAGAGAACCCATTGAGGTACAAGTTTTCCTGGAGTCCAAGAGGAGTCCTGTTCAATGCTCTCAGTGGGGCCAAATATGTCTTGGACGGGAAGGTTAGTCCCTCTACATGCATATCCATCACGATTATTACCTTCTATTAGCACACTTCATCTTTTCTGAAATTTATTTATTTGCAAAGATGAATGAGTCCTATTTTTATGACGTGTTTATGTGCTTCACAGCGCTGAAGATGTGTGTATTTGTGAGGGGTTTTGTGCGTTTTCACAAGGTTTACGCGAGGGGATGATGATGATGCACCTGATGATTTTGTTTGCTGGTCATTGCGAAGTAGTTCTGACATCTGTATAATTCCTAATGAACTTAAGCTGGTTTTGAACTATTTTTATGTCCACTAGGTGTCGCGGTCAACGCCACGCGACTTTAACCGTAATAGCAGAGGATCGCGGATGTGTTTTTGTTTCGTAGATATCTTTTTGCATTTGAAATTTTATTTCATCAAACTCAAAATTTATTTCGACTTCGCATTGACTAACGGGTTTCCTTCGTTCTATGAAAAAATGTCGGAAAACGGGGAACATGGGTATATATTGTAGATCATTGAGGTTCCGCCCGGAGCCCTGATGAGTTCTGCTGAACCCGTCCGGTTCCTGCCGGGTTTTGCTCTGGAAGGATACCCCAACAGGGACTCTCTCATTTACCAAGAAATGTATGGAATTTCTGAAGCCAAGACAGTGCTGAGAGGAACATTGCGATACTTCGGTTTTGCTGAGACCA